GGAAAATGATTTGCAGCCTACTGCTATGCTATTCAGTTCACTTTCTCCTACTTCCTGTACCCGGTTTCCTGTCTAACCTTCAGTACACATTTTACAAAAATATAAATGTGCAAATATGAAACATACAGGTCAATATCACCTTGCTATTGGTAGCTGAACTGTCAATACCCCAAAACATATTCTTAGATAGAAATACCTAATTTGAGTTATTTAGACACAATTAACATAAGAATAGATCATATTTGTTAAGTGTTATTATGGGAGAATTACTATTCTTGTGGTACTACACCTTATTAGGCCCATATTGAGACCAAAACTCATGTACAACAACTTCCTTACTTGCAACAAATAAGCACTAATTAGAGGGTTATTGAGGAAAAACTCTCAACTAATGGCTTGTTTGTAGAATATGGTCATGTAGAATAAGGCATTAATAAGTGTTTTATAATGACTAATAAAGAGCCAATATACTGCTAATATGCATGTTAATTAACAACGGTAGTTGATGGTTAATTTGTGTACCTTAATATAAAGTGTTACCAAAAATACCAGCTGAACGACATCACCCTATTTTAGACCTCATAACCATTTTCATTATGATTTAGTAATGACAGATGGAGGCGCCGTTTACACGAGGAGAAAACTGCTTGTATCTGCATAGTTTCGCGTGCGTATAGCCCTATTATTTACACGAGGCCGATAGAAACTGACCCCACAAACGATAACGGGTCCCAAGGTGGATAGATTTGCAAACGAAACGCTCTGGGGGGTCAACCGAGTCCGTGTAATCACCTCTATACGAATATTTCCTGAAAAAATAACGATAGCTCCACCTTTCCCCACCTCTCCTGCTCACTGCTGTAGCATGGCTGTGTTAATTAAACGCACAAGGGGTTCTTGAATGAAATAATATTATAAAAGGCAAACCAGAATTGTTAACGCCCAATATACTCCTTAAACAAAATAAACAGTCAGATTTCATGCATTGATCCATTATATTGACAAAGGAGGATCTCACCCGGTGTTTGTAGAGAATATCTCTCTGAGCGAGTCCTCTCCACGGAGACATGCTCCTCCTCCTGTCTGTAGCTACTGCTAGTGCTACTGCTACTGACCATGCTACAGATATTAGTGCAAAAATATACAGCTCCTCTACCACAACCATCAGCAACAAGTGGACATGGAGAATTACATAAACTACATGTTGCTAAATCCACGGCGGGGCGTAAACAGAAGGGTAGCCATGGCAACATTGCTGCGGGGCTGCTGCGGAGTCTTCTTCACTGCTTTTGGTGTATTTTGTGGCGGAAGTTACAGCGCCACTTACAGTCCCGGCATATGTACTACAGCGTTTCCAGCGGTCTCGTTTGAACAGACACGTTAAATGAAACAAATGCATGTGAACGGAACACTTTTTTGAATACGCATACTGTGCATAAACGCAAACGGTCCCGTGTGAGCGGGGCCGGAGTCATCTTGTGAACACGCTGCCCCTCCTGTCTCATTTACAATGCATTGTTTCCTTTAATGGCCCATGAATGAAATGTGCAGCCTTTTTGTTTGCCTTTTGGAAAAGTATCTGGGTGGTTCGCTGTTTGTGCTGCCTAACCTGTCTTTGTTAAACTGCATCAGTCTCACAGAGTGAAGGCAGGGTCGATGGGTGACTAGTGCCATGGTTTGAAACATTGATCTCTTCACTGATGGTAATGCAAATGTGTAGGGATGCTAATTTATGCATTTATGCTGACCTTTACAGAGTGAGCATACCATATTGAATGTGTTAAAGGGGTCAAAGAGCAAAAGATGCAGCCACATTACCTCATGATCAGCAAGTAAACACATGCTGCTATGGCTTTGGTTTTCCACTCTGTGTGTGGACTGCTCTCATATGACAGAAAGGCAAATTAGTCACAAAGCTTTTTGAGCAACTTCCTGAGATTTACATAAACATAGTTTTTTGCGGGTTAAAAATGTATTTTGGATAGAAACTTTGAGAGCTTTCGGTGTGCCACTGTAAAGTATAGAGCACAGTGATGATGTCAGTCATTCGCTCACTGAAGAGTGATGTGCTTATTTCCATTGAAACATCATGTTAACATCATGTTTAGACGAGAAGGTGACGCACTGCGGTGACCTAGATCCCTTTCATCAAATAAAATTACCTTTTTAAGCGCGTCTTTAATTAAGCTGTATCCAAGGAGGGGTTTATCCAGGCCAACCATTATCCCTTGTTTCCAGTCTTTATGCTTAGCTAAGCTAGGCTAAGCTAGGCTAAGCTAACCTAAGCTAAGGCAAAAACAGTCACATTTACTCAAATGTTGCATTATTGCTTCAAACAACAAAAAGCTTTTTATATATAACTGTTTATATATTCAATGTGAGGTGTTGACAAAATAAATATTTGGGTATTGATACTCTTTGGTATTTATTTTCACTATCTCTGTAAAGCGACTTTGAGCACCTTTAAAAGCGCTAACTAAATACATCTATTATTATTATTATTATTTTACTCTATTCCAGGTATTTCAACACTGCTATCAACATTTGAGCATTACCTGGGACCACACAAACTCTGGCACAATTCAAAACATAACCAAACAATATTATTGTCATAATAATTGTATGATATAAATATTAGTTTCTGTTTTATTTGCAAGGTCAACCTGCAAATCACATGGGACAAATTATGCACTTTACCACCAAGCATGCAGGACAATTATGCTTCCTTTTTCTTTCAGTTATTCAAGTTATTTGAGTTTAAAACAATCAACATTTTCTGCAGTGGCAGGAGCAACATGACTTCCCCTGGCAGGGGGATACCCTGGCTGCTTGTGACCTCACTTCCTCCTTTGTGCCACTTCCTCCGTATGCTCTCTTGAAACAGCCTTTTTTATTTGCTTTATTCAAATTGTCTTCACACTTCTTCTCCAAATGAATGAATCAGGTTTACACACAAACAAATCCTTCCTTATACAGAATATAGTTTTGAAAGAAACAATAACCCTCACAGCTGGCCTGTAGTTGAGGCAAAGCTAGAGTCAACACATTATGTGATTCATACACTTAGCTGGGTAGTGACCTTATTTTTGTGAAATGTAACACCAGTGTGTGAGGCAATCATTGAGCCGCAATCATATCAGAGGTCCCAGATTACAGATGGTTCAGGGTGGTGCAATTCTTCTCCCTCTGTGGTTCTTGTTCACTCACTGTAGTCATTCTGTATTTGTGAAGCTTACTGGAATATACAGCTGGCTTGACAGGTGTTCTCACTCACAGGCTTACAGGTGTGTAAACAGAGGATAATGATAGTTGCTTGACATAGTTTCTTGTCTCTGTAGCACCTCTCAAGAATAGTTTGAAATATACAATAAGCATGCAAACTGATGTAAAAACTAATCTGTGAACTAAGATTGGTGGACAAAAGGAAAAGCAGAGCAATGTCCTCTAACTGGCTGGGTTGGATTCAACACCATCATTGTGTTGGGTTGGATGTATGATTTACTGCTGTATTTGTGTCCTGGTGTCAGTAGGGCGGAGGCTCTTTGTGCTTTATTCCCACCACCTGAAAGGACTGGGCTGGGTTCTGAGGCACACTGGGCTCCACCTGGAGAAAATACTGAACTGCACGCACTGCTGCCTTTAAAAAGGAGTTTACTTAGTACACTTTTTGTGAGTGTACAACAAAAAATGCATTTCTTTCACTTAATCCTCCAAGCAGAGTACGTTTGGAGTAGTGTGTTTAGGATTTATCTTGTCATTTATCTGTATTTTTGTTGAATAACTTTAATTTATTCAGTGTTATTATTATTAAAAGAGAACATAATGTGCTCTTATTGTTCACATTACAGTATAAAGATAATAACATCATTGAGTGTGTTTTCATTGATTGCTGTTGAGATCTTCAGATAATACATATAAAATAAAAGGGTAGACCCTGGTCCTAAATGCTTTGGTTTTGTATTGTTTTGTGTAGTAACACATGCTAAATATAAAAGGAAATGCTGTCTGCCAAAGTAGGGTGGAAAGTAAATGATACCAGGATATTGTCAATTACATGGACACTTAATCTGTTTCCACTTGTCTCTAATTTAATTTGTGGCTAGAAGTAAATGGAGTTATACCATATTGTGATTTCCTTAAAAATAAGAAAGCTTACAGAACACGTCCAAGAATACATGTTTTGTAAACCGTATGTGAACTTTAACAACATTACAGAAGAATGGCTCTTGGGAAAATTTGACATTTGGAAAAGTGACATCTAATACATCTTTTGTGTAGCATTTAAAAAAATTAAATATTTCCTGATTTCCTTTATATGTGTATCACCTGAGTTCAAATACTGTTTGTGGCAGCGATTACATGACTAGGTAAATTATCAGTAGACAAAATGTATCTTTAATATGATAACCTTTGTACCTGTACAGAAAATAGCATTGTCCACAGAAACTCAAATCTTATCAAGAGGAAATCTAGGGTCCACTGACACCATTACATCATTTTTGTGACACATGTACAACCATGATTGGTCTCTTTAAAGACTGATGTGAATTATCTGTGCGTTAACTTCACATGATGTGACGTCAGCTGAAGGGCGACGGTGATTCCTGAATGATTTGTCCTTGTTACTATGGTGACCTGCAGAAAACAATAATACTCGGCCTCTTTGCTTTCTGCCGTCAAACAACATCAACACCCTTCAGGAATACAGCGATACAATCAACCACCTCTATGGATGTATATCTTTACCTCCATCATGTCACTGTTCCTGTGTTTATCCATCCTTCTCTTAAAAGACACAGTGTGAAGCTGTGTTGACACGCTTGTTTTCCTCCTCTATTCAGAAATGAATAGCATGGAATGTTTTGTTTCACCATAAATATTTGTAGTTGTGAAACTGAGATGTTGCTCTGTGTGAGTCTTGAAATGATTATGATGGATTCTTCTTGTCAGATTTTGCATAACTTATCTCTGGCTCTCTGTTTGTCTCTTTCTCTCTCTAGTCGCAGCCTAGCCGGGCCACACCCAAACCGGTCGCTCAGGTCTCCACTGGGAAGCCTGCACAGTTCGAGGTATCACACATTCCTCTCTAACGCCCTTTAACCTCTTCTCGCGCCGCTTATTCTCCTTTGAGAAATGTAAACTTCCTCTGTTCAATCAGCAGATGGACCGAGCTCTGACCTGCTCATTATCTGGAAAATGTAACTAATTGTTAGTTCCTTTTCCGGTTCCAGCTTCATGTTTTTACTAGTTTTAAATAGAGTGGAGGAATAAAGCTGTGCCCTAAAAGCAATACAGTAGCCAGCAAGAAACACTTTCCTTTTCCTTCTATTCAAGCCAAAGACAGGTAACGCCCATTAATGCTGCTCCTAAACAATGGATCAAAGTGAGTGTTGCTTTGTGTTCAATGTGTAGCTGTTAGTCATTTTCACATGTTATTTTAGTTACTAAATGTTGGCTTGAATAGGATAGATATACCTTAATGTTTGAGTTCAAAAGGCAGACATTTTTCTTAAGTATGCATGTGCAAAATTTGCCATTTAAGATGATAAATTAAAACACATTTAGTTATGAGACTCACTTTATGGAAGTGGGCTAATAAACTGATTCAAAGTATGTTAATGAGGTACTCAGGAATTGTGACTGTAAAGAAATTATACTTGTATTACTACAGTACAGCTGTAAAACACAGGGCTTTCACTGAGTCCTTTGGCTAATCTTTAACTTCCTTAATGCCAGACAGTTTGGACATGACAAATCAGCAGGGCCGGCCTGAAGAGTTTTCACTCGGCCTCCAACACTTTGACATCGTCTATTTTGGGAACTGGCTTTAGAGAAAGGCTTTGGTGGGATATTTGTAGTTTGAAAGTGGAAATAAAGTAGCTGTTGCAGTATTTAGAACATTGTGAGACAATGGCATGTGTTTAACCAAGTTATTTATAGAGTAGTTTGTATTACTCGGGGATCAACCTTTAGCTTGAAATGACTCTCGTTAGCAGCTGACCTCTGTGTCCCCTCCATACCTCTGCTCTGCCACAGTGGGGTTCAGCTGCTCATGTATCAGTGGCAGAGTGAAGTAGTGGTGCAGTGTATTTGCATACAGTGGAGACAGCCACTATGTAGGGTGCAACTTAAAGTGGCACTTCAGTGTTTGAATGTTGCACTTCCATAAAGACAAGAGAGGCAAAGATATCCTGACTTTAGTCTCCAGTATTCAGTTACATTTCTGGGTTTGTCTCCTAACTTCATGTTGCTAATGCTAACTAAGATATATTCTGTTTTAAAGTTGTCCTTATAGGTTCATCTGGGGGTCCGTGTAGTATATGATTATAAGCCCATGTCAGAGGAAACTGATCAAATGACCATTGCCAGTAGTTTGTCCGACTGCTGTATATATACAATATCACCAGATCCTACATTTCCCACAATGCAACTGATAGCATAGATTAACTTGATGCTCCCTGCCTGGAAAACATCCAATTATGTAACACATCATTAGTGTTGTGTACAAGCCCAACCAGAGATACTCCTGAATACGTTTTGGCGATGTCATCAGTATTATTAATAATTAATCAGCTGCCTTTGGAGCCACAGAAAACATTAACAACCTTTCTTTACAGAAGTAGTATTAGTAAAATAACTTTGTGTGTAAAATCAGTGGATTGTCCCTTTTTACCAGTTATAGTAAGTGCAACAAACAAGCATGCATTGGCAAGGCAAGCATCCATTAAGCTGTGATAAAAATAGATGATTTCCCATGCGTCGTGCTTTGCAGAAGGCAGCGTCAGGATCCGCCATGGCTTCAAAGCCTGGGGTTACCACAGCAACAGGTGGAGCCACTCGTAGTGGCGTGACGGCGGGAGGAAGTGCTTCAGTTGGGACCGCAGGAAAAGCCAAAGCAGAGGTAGACAGGCCCTGGATGCCTAAATAAAAGTGGAGTTTTTTTTTGGCTGTTTGGTGTCACATAACAAGAACCCTCCCTCTACACTTCACTGGCTTCATCTTCTTTTCATCTTTGTGAAACATTGTTTACCTCCTCTCTGTTTGCGGTAACTCTCACATCTTGACCGTTCTGAGGCTAAACACTTGCTGTCTCACATTCATGAGCTCTCATATCATCATGCTTGGGAATGACTGAATAACTCTCCCATGACTTTCTTTTAAACCTGTGCTCCTTGGTTTGTAGACTATGGCAGGTACTGTTATTGACATGTCGTCCGCTGGGTCTACCTTTGTTGACATGACATCAGCTGGGGCGAGGGCTGCTCCTAAAGAGATGCCTAAGGTAATGGTGTCCTCTGATCTGTGCTTTATTCTTTATTTATATTACTGCTGATCATTTGACTGATATATTTGCTACCAATTGGGTAGCATGCAGGTATATATAAAAGTGTATCAAGCTTAATAGTTTGATTGGTTTCAGATTGTAATATCTTGTAAACACACTTGGTTGTTGGTCAAGCCATGTGGGAAACTTCGACATACACAATGTGTCAGCTGCTTAAATCCAGCCTCTGTAAATCCACATGATTCTCAAGAAACCCATGATTGCTTATTGTTACGATTGTTGCAAGGGATCCCCATAAGGGACATAGAAAACAAATCTAGTGATCAATTTTCTCTCTTGTGTTTATGACTTCAGAAAAGGTGAGAAACGTTTTGCAGGGATTTTCACTCTTTATTTCTTTGTCTGTGAAAACAACTTTAGACTGGTAAATGTCCTTCTTTTCCTTTTTTTGGGATCATTGTGTGTTTGGTGTTGTAATACTCATTTTGGCCACAATAGGCTAAAGTGCATCCCTACTTTTCCTCTTTTCTTAAAAATTAAATACAGGAGAAGAAATCCTATAGATCCATCAGAAATCCGATTATTATCGAATTATTTTTGGTGCCTCTCAGGGCTTCAATATAAATACAAAACTAAGCAGCTGCCTCTCACATTTCTGATATTAAATGAGTGATTTTCGGAGTTTAGAAAAAGGTCAGCAGTGCTGTAAAATATGTGTTTATTTTATATAGTCTAAACCATGAAAAAGCACAATAATTTAACCAATAACATTGATCAATGGTCAGATTAGTCTCAGCAACCTTGCTCTAGTTGGACTACTCTGACCAGAGATCAATGTGCATTTCTCCTGCTCTGTTTCCACTAACATGTCTTCCATATTTCTTGTAAATATGTTACAGGATTTATATTTATTAGTGCTGTGAAACTGTCATCCTTGTGTTTTTGAGTAATCATTTGGCGACATGTTTGTAGACTGCTGCCGTCTCCCAAGTCAAAGCTACGGTTCCCTCTCCTGCCGCTGGCCTCACTGCAGTGACCAAACCTAAAGAGTCTCCCAAAGGCTCAGCTAAGGTAGACTCCACTGCTCCTCAGACTCTGTAACCTGACTCCCTGGAGGTTTACTTTCAAAGCTTTCCTTCTGCAACATCTTCTCTGTGGGCGATCTTATCAGGTTTTTGTTCCTGTCTTTGCCTGGGAACACTCTTGCTTTGGATATTACTCACTTTTGGAGTTTCTTTCTTTTTCTACTTCCGAGTTTACCATCCAAAAAGGACTTTTGTTCATTCCTTCTGCAGTGCAATGCCTGCACTTGTTATAATATTGCACATCTTGCCCACTTGCAACACCGAACGAACACAGTTTGTTGTCTTGTCCTCTCGCTCTACTTCATTGCACAACTCCTGTTGAAACTTCTGAACTAATGTCTCTCATCAAAATGCTGAAGGACTTCTGCTGGAGACAGTCCATCGCTGTCCTCTGTTTTATTTGTTTCTTTGGGGATATATTCAACTTTGTCCATATACAGTCGATCTATAGTTTTACATCACATGTACTTGGCTTATAATAGATTGAAATGTATTGTATTTTAGAGTGCAACTGCTACCACAACAGTCAAGGCCGAGGTGCCTAAAGTTGATACGGCTAGACCATCAAAGCCAACTGCAACGGCTGGAAATGTGTCTGTGCAGGGGAAGAAAGAAGTGACAGAAATTAAGGTAAACAATCCTGGATAAACTTTGGTGGAAGCTATCTGAGTTTTAGTTGGTGTATTTTCTGTCAGTACAATATTAGTGGATATGTTGTATTCAATATTTTCATGGTGGTCTGACTGAATAGACTTCACAGCCTTGTGAGACTTTTCATTGGTGTCAAACTTTGGGATTTCTTTTCTTTCTGGACTATATTATCATGAGGAAAAGTGACGTTTCATCTGCTGCGATTTAATCAATTTGCAACAACTTACTCCTGCAGTTGAGTCTCCATTAAGCTAACAACGTCTGTGTGTTGCGTGCTTCATTTTGTTTCAATCTGTGTACTGATTCTCAATCTTCGCTGCAGGTGCAGGCGGAGATTCCTCCGGCAGCAGCTAAAGGAGCCAAAGAGGTAGATACTTACGGACGCAGTATGAGGTTGATTTGAAAAGCATGGTGCTTGCTGCAGTGTGCTGAATTGTGTTGCATGTGCAGGTTGATCCATTCGATGCCCTGGCCAACATACTGCCATCAGTTGGTCCTGCACCCGTCGTGCCTGTATACACGGGGCCAGAGGTCGTGGAGGTATAGCTCATGTCTGTGTGTGTGTGTGTGTGTGTGTATATAATCTGAGCAGGTATATGATAACACGGAGCTGCTGCATGGCTCTGCTTTGAGTAACTGTGTTGCATGTGTCACAGCATAACATCATCTCCGAGACGGGTCAGAAATGCGGAGAAAAAGACAGCACGCTGCCTCCAGGCTACAGATTTGATGATATGGTCAGTTGTCCCATCCTCTTCATCACGTCTTCTGGTTTACTAATGAGCTTGTGGAGTGTTTTTGTTGTCCCATTGACAGACCTCATTGACGTACTGATTATCTAGAGTAATGGAGACAATGCTGCAAGCAGCCAAACAGAACTCAAATCCCCTTGATTGAATTGGGCAGAGATGATAAGGGTCAAATAGTGTACATTTTTGGTTACGAAATATGCATTATGCACTTTCAAAAAACTATCAAGAAATCAGAGATGGTATCAAAAGTCTGTTTCATAATCTAGTTTACTCATTCTAAAATGAAAAAGTTCCAGGCTTCCCTCTGAGTATCTCATCTACAGTTTGAGAAATATCTTTGCAATTTCCCCCATCAACACATCAGAGCATATTGGGATTTTATTGGATGGAGTCTTAAAGAGATGGGCGCTAAAACTGAGCGTTTCAGGCAGAGGGTGTCGGGGAAACTTCTGAAGTAATTGGAGTCAGGACTCAGAGAGACACGAGGAGAGCTGGAGCTTTGATGGCAAACACTGACGGTTTATTTGGAGCTTAGGCCGGAGAATTCACAAGACATGTCACGGGCCACGGTTTGACCACACGGTTGAGATGCCACAATCAATTCTGAAGAACTCTTCTGTAGCTCCAGGTTTTAACTAGTTCGGAGTGTAATAATCAACATTCTTCAATAGATAGACTAAACAAATATGGACCCTGAATCTAACTAGAGCTCTCGTCCATAGAAAAGAATGTGCGCCAGGGAACCTACGTTCCTAAAAAGAAGGGCTTCTAGATGTCCCTGAACAATAAACTATCTCATGTCAGCTTGTGCTCGGTCATAAGCTGGCAACAACAATGCTCCCCAGCTGCCCCTCCTTAAGAGAGAGAGCAGCAATACCCAAGGCCGTAGACCTATGCCATGGGAAAGGAGACAGTGAAGAGAGAAAATGATGAGCTGTGTCAAAGGTTGAATACCTAAGCAAATTATTCCCTAACAGAGGGTGAATACAGCTATAATAATATGGACGGTAAAAGGAAAATAATGAGCTTTTTGATTATTATAGCATGTTGATATGTTCAAGTAGAAACCCAAAATACAAGTTTGAACCTCGAAATAAACATAATATTATACCTTTTAAATACATTTGATTTATTTTACCTTATTTTATCTAGCCAACGAAAGTCATGTAACATATTGGCAAACGTATTGTATTTTAAATTTAAATGATATTCAGCCCTCGAGGCCAGAATTTAGGGTTAGGGTGAGTTAATACTACTCAGGTTAATACTGAGCACATAAAATCAAAACAATCTGAGGACCATTTGATCATTTCGGAGGATTTTTTTGTTTGGAGAACTAAACCTTTAAGTCAGTAAATATTGACTCCCGGAGTTATGTCAGAATTTACATTTTAATCTTCCAATCTAATATTAATTCTGTTTTTCTTCTAGCCTCCAGTTCCTGCAGATTACAAGCCAAAGGATGTTCCTGTAAGTGAATCTTTTCTAACTCATATTTAGTGGAGTCACAACGTCCTATATTACGCACATTTTGTTACAGTGAGTATACACTTACGTTGCACACACATTCAGGAAGCTCTGTTTCCACTGTACGATCTCCTGGTTCCTCTAGAGTGGGGAATGTTGCATTGAATGGCGGGTGTTGTCTCAGCAAACAGCTCAGACCCACCTTCTCTATTCAAGCTCGTTGATTCTTGTCCGACCAAACCCAAACACGCACGACAGCTCACAAACTGATACATCTGTCACACACTTTGATATCCGCCCATATGGAGGTTACTATTTACACACCATCAACACACCCAGTCTTCACAGCGTACTCCCACTTCGCATCTCATATTGCCAGAGGCTTCTTTAGCTGTGTGTTTCATGATCAGTTCTCAGCAAGATACTTTCCTCCAATGTGAGTTTTGTGTTTTTAGTTTAAATGTTTATCATATTTGATGCTAAATTGAAACAGTTGTATGTGTCACAAGTGGGTTTTTCATTATTTAGTCTCCATGGAATGCAAAGGGTGTGTCCGTACTTTTCCTAAACACTCTGTTGGTCTGGTTTTTATTATTTTGCTCTTTTGTTTGCATTTGACTTGGCGAGGCATGCCCTCTAGTGGAGGATCATGTGGCTGTGATAGAATATCATTTGGAGCTATTCCACTATTTTAAAGAATCTTGCCGGTATTGTGTTGTTATTTGCATTGTCTGTAACCAGCTGTATCCATTTTAGAAACCACTGAGCACGGATGAGGCCCTGGACTCTCTTTCATTTGGATTTACGTCTCCAGCCGCTCCAGCTGCACCCAAGAAGCAAGAGGTCAGAGTCTTTAAACACGTAGCACTCAGCTGCTAGTCCATTCTCCACCTTTACACCTCGTTGCCTAAATGGCAAAAGTCTGTAACTAAAATTCCCAGTTTGCCATGTCTGCTGTGGACAGTATCAATTGAAGACTTTGTGCTTTTTAGGCAGTCTAACAAATTGCTCTTTTCTTATTGAAATATGCATCAAAAGGACTTTATTGACAGCGTCAGCCTCATCTGCTGGTCCTGCTAACTTTGCGCCACATCCTGTCAAATTAACTTTGAAGTCTCTGTTTGAAAGAACAAAGACTTCTATTGTCTAATGCTGTGTCTCTGTTGCAGGTAATGACTGAAATGTCTGCAACAGTTCCTACTGTGTCTGTATGTCCTCCTCCAGCTGATAAAAAAGCCAAGATGGAGAATGATTTCTCCCTGGAGTCTTGCCTTCCTGCCGCTACTGCCACGGTACAGCATGTTCACACCTCCTTTTCTTTCTTCTTGACCGGTCAGAAAGGTTGTTGTTCTTCAATGTTGTCTTTGTTGGATTTTATAGAAAGCAGCTCCTCCTGTGTCTTCATGCAAAGCTCCTCCTGCTGATAAAAAAACCAAGAAAGTGGACACCAAGCCCAAGACTGATGGGGTGAGATTAACAGGAGTTAATGTGGATCGTTTGAAACCATGTCCCTGTCTTCTTCTGTAGTAAAGGGACATTTGAGTAGATTAATAACTTTCCTCTCTGTCTCTCTCCCCAGGGTGACTCTATGTCTCTAGATGCTCTCAGCGCTCTCGTTGACACGCTTCCAGAAGACTTACCAAAACCTGATCTCCCTGAACTCAGACCTGAGGACATCATCTCGGTAGGAGCACAAGCAGCAACACCGCCTCGTCCTCATATTATCTCTGACTCTCTAATAAACAGTACAGTCAAGACACAATAGTATCTCCACCCAGATGCAATTACTTAAACACAGACAACACAACAATGCCCTTTTTTCTCATTTTTACTTTTACAGGAGGACAAACACAAGAAGGAGAAGGGTGTGTTTGTAGGAGAGAGGGATGACTCGATTGCTCCAGAATACAGGTTTAATAAGGAGGAACTCAAAAAAGTGCCTGCTCTAAAACCTGAGGTAAGAGTGGGAAGATGTTGATGTTGAGGCCTTTAAAGTATAAATGTGATATAAATACAGTGAACGCAGAATATTTATTTACAATATATTTTTGCACTGTCCCCTTCACCCACAGCCCGCCTTGGGTACTGCTGATGCTCTGGACTTTTTGTCTGGAGACTTCATGGACTCCTCATCAGCTCCTCCTGCACAGGTACAGTGTGGATATCTCACACATGCATATGTTTTGAGTAAAGTAGTGTACAAATATTGCAGGAATACAGTATCTTACATTATCTCTTTAATGTGGTCTTTGTTGGTTGTTGCAGAAAGCCCCTGTTGTGGCTGTGTGTCCTCCTGCTAACAAATTCATGCAGGAGAAAATCCCTGATGATTTCTCTCTGGAGGCTGCAACTGCCACGGTACAGCACACTCACATATCTCTGATCCAGTGTAATGTTGATCATCTTCGTTCATCAAAAAGATGATTGTTATGACTCAGACTTTGGCTCATTTGTACTTTTTTGAAAGTATCAAAGTGATCCCCATGCAAACAGAAACTAGAAGCAATAAGGCAGCATTCAGATTTGCAAAAAACAGCTTTGTGTACTCTGGCCCAGTGGCTCTTGGAGATAACATCATTGTAGTGGCCAAAATCCCAAAAGTTTGTCCTGTCACTTGATACCTCAAAAGTTCTTGTTCTTGGCCACATGTAGAGCTTGGGGCTGGGAAGCAGTGTCAGACTCGCAGTCAAAAATCCACTGGACGTTTCGGTTGCTTTTCAACATTTATTTCCAGCAAACATAAAACAAAATAGGAAAACAGTATGTAACGTAAACTTAAACAGCAGATCCTAATAATCCGTCTTCTCTAAGCCTAAGGTTGCGTCTGCGTGTCAATGACGGTATTGCTGCTGCCTGCTGCCCTGCCGTCACACACCTGCACCTCCAATTTAAAGCGTTAGCCCCGCCCCCTTCACCTGAGCAAAGCGCACCACTCACTGAAACAGAAAAATGCATTAATAAAAGGTTCCAAATAAATCAAAACAAAATAAACTTAAATGCGGCTCCTATAATCATGCTCACAATAAAAACGCTAAAATGCTGTTATCATGCAGGTATAACTATTCCGTAATAATTCACCCACAAAATGGCCGTTGGAAGCCAATTACTCAACCTGTGATACCTTGAATTAATGAAGACAAATATTTTCTCGCAAGCCTTTAAGGTTTGATGGATATAACATAAATAATATATGGGGGCTGCGTCTAACAACAGCAAAAATATCTAAACATCTATTTCCAAACTCTCTAACTACTTGTGCACTTTAGAGGTATCATTTAGTCAGTTGAATGCTCATTACTTCACAAACACATGCATTTTCTCTAAAACTTTAATATTTAATACACTTCTAAACACTCTCAAGCTTACATAGTGCTACTTATCCGTTCAAATCCGAAATGTATTCATTTGCAAGGTTTTAATGAAAATGTACAGTTGAGGTTGATGATATTTTGTTTTTGATCATTAAACAAGTATTTGAGGAAATATAAATGATAATGAACTTCTGATGTCCTAAATAGAAAAATCAAGAGATTATTTGGGATTTTTTACAGAATGTTGTGCAATCCAGTTGATATTGAGATATTTGTCAGGATCAGGTAAACCTTTGACCTGCTGCTTGCACAACAAGAAAACGTCAGGGGTTCACCACACATCCATAGAGTCATGGTGTTAGCATTGCCAAAAACACACAGGTTTAGAACGTTTTTTGGGTTAATGTTTGAGTTAACTGTCGATGTAGGCCACACCCACTGCCGGAACACATTTGACCCCAGATATCTTTGTGTAATAAACCAATAAATTAATACAAAGTTTGATTTCACCCCTTTTTGTCTGGTGTAGAAAGTGGAGTCCAATTTTGCCGTGTGTCGCGGTCCTCCTGCTGGTAAGAAAGCCGAAGTAGAGAAAACCGCTGCCGGAAAGGACAAGCTCAAGAGTGGTCAGGTGAGAGAAAAAGAAATGTTCCCCTTTAATTAAAATCCATCTTTTGTGAGACCTTTTGCTTTGATATTTTAATTATGTATGAGAGATCAATAAAGCACAATCTCTGTTTTTTCCTCAGGGTGACTCCTTCTCTCTGGATGCTTTCAGCGCTCTCAGTGACACGCTGCCAGCGGACATGCCAAAACCTGAACTTCCCGAACTCAGACCTGAGGACATCGTCTCGGTAGGAGCACAAACACTCACAGAGCTCGCAGCCTTGAGGACACCTTCTGCTGTTGGCATATCGGTAGCATTTGTGTCAGTTTCTCACAGAAAGACTCAACGGGTATTATTATCTCAACTTTTTTTTTTAGGAGGGCAAACACAAGAAGGAGAAGGGTGTATTTGTAGGAGAGAGGGAAGGCTCCATTGCTCCAGAATACAGGTTTAATAAGGAGGAACACAAAAAGCTGCCTGTTCCTAAACCTGAGGTGAGACTGAGTCAAATGTGGTTTACAGCTCTTATAGTTTCACCGTAATGTGATGACAGTATATGTTAATACATATTTTGTCTTTCCTTCCTTTGTTTCCCTCCTCCCCTCCACATGCAGCCCACCATGGGTACTGCTGATGCTCTGGACTTTTTGTCTGGAGGCTTCACGGATTCCTCATCAGCTCCTCCTACACAGGTACAGTGTGGATATGTTACTGTTAAGAGCAGACACTAATATAAGAATATGACATATTATCTCGTCAACTGTCAACTCTTTCGGCCACTGCAGTTTCACCTGTGGCTACAGTATATGACCTAAGCAATAAAGCAGCATGCAGATTTGTGACACTCAAATAAGTCTGCTGTCCTGCTTGCGGCTTTGTGAAACTGTAGTTTGGAACAGTGGGTCTTGCGGCTAAATGCTAACATTTGCATGCAAACATGCTCACCGTGACAACACAGACATGTAAGCATTCTACCAAAATGATATTCCCTATTCAGTCATAAACCAAAGAATTGGGCATTTTGACATTTTGACCGGATGATTACCAGCTTAAGAAGCAAACATACACAGCTACAGTTGATATAAAGTCTAATGTCATCCGTGTTGTCTGGTGTAGAAACTTGAGCCCACTTTGGTTATGTGTGAGAGACCTCCACCTGCTGTCAAGGCTCCTCTCGACACCCCTGTTCCTTTTCCTGTAAAGGTGCACTTTGGATCTGTTATTGTTAGGCAAAAAATGAAAACAGAATACATTTTCTTTTCACATATAAAATAAGAGTTTACAGTCATACTAGCGACTGTATGGTCACTTTAGTACTCGGAGAGAGAGGCTATATTTTGGAACACTGGCTCTCAGAGCTAAATGCTAACTTTGCCATGTTAACATACTCACAACGCTAACATGATGTTTACTGTATAATGCCTCCTGGGCATATCAACTGTCCTAGTTTAGCATGTCAGCATTCTACCATTTGCTTATCATCACAAAGTACAGCTGAGACTGATAATGATATCCATATTTAATCACAGACCAAGATTTGGACAAATTGCAATTTTGACCTGATGAATCTGTAAAAAGACAATGAATATAGCAACAGAAAACCATTAATATGAGGCTTGATGTCATCTCTGTTTTCTGGTATAGCCAATTGATTACAAACTGCCTGTGTGTCTCGGACCTCCACCTGCTGTCATGGCTCCTGTCCACACTCCTGTTCCTGCAGTGGTACAGTGTGAAACACTTATCAGCGGACATACATTTATGAAAATTAAAAAAAATTAAAATAATCTGTTATCCCTTCAAAGAGTCTACAGTCATACTAGCGATTCAGTGAGGCTGTAGCTTTGAACACTGTCTCTCAGAGCTCATTGCTAACATCCCTCGACATGATGATGTTTATGCCTTTTTGGCATATCCACAGACCTAGTTCATTTTTATGTTTGCATTCTCATATTTGCTTATGCACAAAGCACAGCTGAGACTGATGATGATATAAAAAGTCAGTGACAAACCAAAGATTTGGACAAATTAGAAATTTGACCCGATGATTATGTAAAATAACAACAAATACAGCTACTGAAATCCATTAATATGACGTTTCATGTCATCTCTGGTGTAGAAACTTGAGCACACTTTGGTTGTGTGTCAGGGACCTCCACCTGCTGTCATGGCTCCTGCTCTTCCTGTACAGGTACAGTGTGGATCTGTTACTCTGACAGGCAGAACAAATTATGAGTTGTACAAAAATACATTATCACGTTTTCTTTTCAACTGCTGTCAGTGTTGGTTGTTTTAGAAAGCCAACGTACTTTCTTTTGATGCGGTGTGTCCTCAGCAAGTCAACTGGGCGACCACAGTTCAGCCAGGCTTTTGACTGGCCAAATCACTTTTTCATATTTATACGTTTTATCCATTAAGGATAAAAGTTCATGTCATGAACTGGATGTCCAAGCATTTGGACATCATCAAAAAACTACCAGTAGAGCAGCATGTAGATTAGCTACAGTCATGCTCCCAGCTCTGTGAGACTGTAATTCGGCACAGTGGCTCTTTGAGCTAAATGCTAACATCAGCATGCTAACATGCACACCTTAACAACGTTAACATGATGTTTATAATGCATGTCAGCATTCTCCCAATTGCTTATTAACACAAAGAACAGATCAGGCTGATAATGACGTTACTGATCAAACTGGACATATTTCAATTTTTAAATTGATGATGGCGTAATATGAAAACAGATACATCTACTGATAGCCATTCATTTAAAGTTTGATGTCATCGCTCCTCGTGCAGACACATGAGCACACATTGGGTGTGAGGGCCCTCCACTTTTATTCATCGATCCTGTCATACAGAAACTGTAGGGTTTGTAGCATTTTGTGGTAAAAAGTCATACAAAAAGAATGATACCAATCTCATCAATATGTTTGCTTTGTCGTTGCTGAAAGCTGTGGTCTTTATTTTTCAGACCAAAGTAGAGGACTTGTCAGCTCTGGATATGCTTTCTGAAGACTTTGTGTCTACAACCAAAGCTTCTGGAGTTCAGGCACCTGCCCCTCCTGCAACCAAGAAAAAGACACCAGAGGTAAAGCTATTGCTGTGTTTGTGTGTGTGTTTATATGACAAATTGAAATGATTTTGTATTGCGGGCTCTTTGTGCCAGTCCTTGGGTTTTCTGTCCCCCCACGGCTTCACCTACATGTCCTAAAGTATGTCCCTGTGTTCCTGTAGAGAACGGTTTGTCCTCTGGAGCGCCCTAACAAAGTTGACGTCATCCAGCCAAAACCCAAGACTGATAAGGTATTGCTTCTATTACTACTATGCATTTTTTTATATGCGTCTAAACTGCAGACAAAGTAAAATAAATTGTGCATTGGACCACCTTATCTTGCATTGTATATCTTCTTTTACTTATCTCACAATTTTTCTAAGACGGTTTCATTATATTCTTCTTCTCCTTGTCTCCTCAGGGTGACTCCTTCTCTCTGGATGCTCTCGGTGCTCTCAGTGACACGCTGCCAAAAGACCTCCCTAAACCTGAACTCCCCAAACTCAGACCTGAGGACATCATCTCGGTATGGGACACTCACAGACACACAATCACTCCCATTAGAAAAACTCAAACTGTGGTTTTTGCTTCACCTAATCCACAAGATTGTGTTGCCTTATCATGTGTTACATAATCAATGGTAGATATAGTAGGGGTCAACAGATGTATGTTTTTTGAAAGTTCGATGCCAATATTTCCAAAACAATTTCCCAAATTGGGATCAATAAAGTACCATCTTATCTTATCTTATCTTATCTTATATTGAGAGCAGGGTGGCCGATTACTGATAGATTAAAAAATAGACCCACAATTGCTAAAATGTGTTGAATATTATAAACACTGCTATTGTCTGCTATTGTCTCTGTATGTCCAGGTAGATCTGCACTCTGTCTGCAGTGCAGTTACAAACAAAATAACATATAAATTAAATAATTATCCACAGGAAATCAAAACATTTAATTTAGTAAAAATGTTTGGTCACCTAACTCCAATTATAATCGTTCTTGTGCAAATCACATACTGTAACTTGCCTACTTTGGACCATACTGGCTCAATTCCCTGTATAAATACATGTTTTTTAATTCTTTGTTTAGATGGGCAGACTGGATTGAGTGTGTGCCCTGGTAGTAAATAATGACCCCAATTTTTTCTTTAACTTGTTTTCACAGGAGGACAAACACAAGAAGGAGAAGGGTGTGTTTGTAGGAGAGAGGGATGACTCCATTCCTCCAGAATACAGGTTCAATGAGGAGGAATGCAAAAAACGGCCTGCTCCTAAACCTGAGGTGAGAAAAATGAACATCTGCAATATATTTTCTTAAATGATAGGTTAACACTCTTTACCTTGTTAGTATTGATAAATCAGACATCTCACCCTTATTTCAACTTATATCTATCTCCCAATATCATACTTTAATCATATTTTTCCTACATTTTCCCCTCGTCCTGCAGCCCTCCATCAACACTGGTGATGCTCTGGACTTTTTATCTGGAGACTTTGCGTTCTCCTCATCCGCTCCTGTGGTCCAGGCTCCTGTCATCACCCCCTCAGCCCCCCCTGCACAGGTACACACTGGATCCAGCACTGGTTAATGTAGCTCTAAAGAATACAATGTGATGCAAGGATACCTCTATGCATTTGAAAAGTCCTATAGAAATTAAACACCCTATATTTGGTCACTCCTTCAGCCCTCTGCAGACTTTGCTCTGGACGCCTTGGCGGAAGAATTTGTTTCCTCCTCGGCTGCTTCAACGGTGAAGTCCTCTGCATGTGCTCCCACAGAATCTGCCGCAGATGTAAACACAGCACGAGTACATCTCAAGCCTTTTTTGGACTCCCCTAATCCCTGCAGTAACATGATCAGAATCTTTTTGTTTGTGCCCTCAGCTGGCCGCAGGAGCAGACAATGCCCTGGAGGCCCTGGAGGCCCTGGATGCTCTGTCAGACACCTTGAAGGACATCACACCCGTCCCTATGCCCGCCCCAGTTCCTACCAAAGACCTCGTCAATGTAATAATGCCTTCAAGAGCACAGCCAACATGAGAGAGAATGATTTGTTATTTGTCGGCCAGTCACTTCAGCTGTTCTGATTGTAATCTGTATTTTAATTTGTTTTTGCAGGAAGAGAAGCTGAAAGAAGAAAGGCTGATTAAGATGGGGGAGAGAGACGACACGTTGCCACCAGAGTATCGACCCACTGGGGTAAAAAACAGTCTTATATCTCCCTTTGTTTCTGTTGTGTACGGAAGCCTTGAGAGGCCAGTAGGGAAACTTGTGTATATTGATCAACTATCAAAGCCTGGAAGTTCTTGGTTTGAAAGTTAGTGACTGGCTCTCACACAATATGTGTTTAAAATGCATGGAGAAATGAAAACCTAACTTGTAAGAAAACTATGTATTTTTACTATTTTAGAACATGGGTAATGTTGCCCTTCAGCCTCTTGTGGTCAGAATTGGTACTACAGTAACAAACACTGACAATAATTCAGACACAAAATAACTTTTCTATGACAGGCCATAACTTGTCTACTTGTTTTAACAAATGGAATTAGTCAAATAAGCTAACTTGGATTTTCTTTAAAGCCATAAACATTAGAAAAAGTCACCAGAATTTGTTTCATATTGGCCTCTGAGGAATTCTATAGGTGTCCATCTTCCTGTAGCATATTTATGTTGCTAACTTGCTCGCCTTAACAAAGGCTTCATTTTTTTTTAGCCAAGTGTTGAGTGTTTCATCCAGACTGAAATATCTAAAGACCTGTATGATTGTTTGCCATTACATTTTCAACAGACATGTGTATCCCAGAGACTAAATCTAATTTAAATGTCGGACTTTTCCACTTAGTAGAGCCCATCAGCCTGGTTGATTAACAATTTAGGTTTAGGTAAGCAGCTGCTGGAGCATAATTCAAAGTATTAGTGCATGTTTTAGAAATATGATCATTTCTATATTCTTGTTTTAAAGTTCATGCTGAAACAACAGTGACATATTATTTAGTTATAAAATAGAGGATGTAATAAAGAAGACACATTGTCCCTACCTTAACTACCTTAAAGGGGACCTATCATGCAAAATGCACTTTTGTACGTCTTTTATACATGAATATGTGTCCCCGGTGTTCCAGGGAACTCACCAAGTGTCAGAAAACACAACCCTCTCTATTTTCCTCCATACCCAAATCTCTAAAAAAGGGGCTGCAACGGATCTGATAAAAACTGATCCAGATTTGAACACTGTCCTGACGTCAGGACAGTGGCGCTACGGCTATTGGGCCAACTCCACCAATCAGGAGGAGACAGCCACGGCCATTGCCGTTCGAAAGTGCTGGAGACGCTGTAGTACATATGCCAGGCCTGTAGATGGTGCTGTTCTCACTGAATCAGCCCTTGCAAAAACAGAGCTAAAAAATGTCAAATTGAGCGAAATGAGGCATGGCTAAAATGCATGATCTGTTTGGTATTTTGAAAAAAAAAAAGTATAAATATGCCTTATATAGGTATGGTCCTACACTATATTATTCAAATATAGCATGATAGGTCCACTTTAAGCTTTAAAACAGAACTATGTGGGTTTGTTGGGTTATTTGAATATCTACTGTGATATGTATGATATATGATTTTTACAGCTTGTAGTAATATTACTATTAGTCTAATGTTTACCAATGTTGTTTTAAAGGATATTGGAAAAGTACCTGCAAAACCAAAACCTAAGGGGGTAGGAATGCACACACACACACACACACATACACATACACATACACATACACATACACATACACATACACACACATACACACACACAGAATATGACAGTAGACAATCGAGCACTGTTAAATGGTGTAAAGTTCACTGTGTATAACCACATGCACTTCCTGTCTCTCTGCAGAAGTCTATGGATGATAAGACAGCGTTGGACCTGCTGTCCAGTGACTTCTCTGCTGCTGCCTCTCTACCTGTAGCACCCGTCGCTTCAGGCGCTGCCACAACAAAGCTGGAACCTCCTGTGCTGGACTCAGAGCCCCTGAAGGTAGCACGGGAAATACACTGTTATTTATAGTATTTGCATTTATAGTTCCTCCTTCTCTGGAAATCTTAATGTTTGCTGTTAAAGTACAATGTGGTGTGCTGTCATATTTCAGTACTGCACCAGACTTTTTGCATTTTCTGCTGTTTTTGGATACAAACTTGATCAATTAAATTTAATTAAATGTGCTTTTTTGACATGTTACAAAGATAATATTTCCAAAGTGTATAAAGGATTATCAAAAAAAGTGAAACATTCATAATATCAAGCAATGTAGGGAATAGTGTATGCAATAGTTGTTCCAGAATGAAATTAGCAATTGAAGATGGCTAGCTGGATTTTAATTTATGCAGCAATCTTAAACAACTGTATTAGTAGTTTGGTTTGTTGTGTTTGTTTATCATTTTCCTTATTTATCATTCTTTCCTAGCCAATGGCTGGCGCTGTCCTGGACTCCCTGTCCAGCACCCTGCTCCCAGACGCCCCAGAGTTCATACCTAAGTCAGACAAACCAAAGGTAAAATAAGATCTGCTTTTGACTAATGGCATTTTATAAGCACTGACGTTGGGCACTTTTAGATTTCACTGTGACATGGCGCCCTCTGTCGGTCATAGCATTAAAACGTATCAGTGGTCTCCTCCTCATGGAGCTCGAGGAGTGTTGGGCCTAACCAAGGTGTCAACTTTGTTACAGGGCAAGAGCAAGTCAAAGTCAAAGTCCAAAGTAAGCAAACTGCCGGCTGCATGAAGAAAACAATGACGTTCGATTTGCATGATAATGTACAAACGATTCTGTGAACGTGTAATTGAACCAAATGAAAAAACAAAAAATCTCTATCGGTGGATTCCTGCGAAAATCTGCATGTGATGTACTCTCCTGTCTCTTTAGCCGATGTGAATTCCTCAAATCATGTTGTGAAATCTGCATGCAACGGCTCTGCGTCTTCTCTTCCTTTCTATATTTTGTTGTAAAACGTCAATCTTATATTTCAGAAGCACCATGCAGAGGAGCCTCACTCTGACCAGCTCCCAGCACAGCCAAGCTCTGACGTCATGCCCAAATCTACAAGGAAGGGAGGCAGGAGCTAGACCACTGGGTAAGGATTGTTCTCATCTTATGCACGATTTCACCTGATAAAATATGAGGATAGTGCTGACTGCTGAACATGTGTTGCAGGTTGTCAGAGCAATTTGACCCCCCGGCCACAGGGACGCTTCAGTGAGGGAGCTGCTCTCTGGATAATGATTCTATTTTTTCTAAATCGCCTAGAATGTATACTGGATGAAAGACAAACCACGACACACACACACTCACACACTCTGCATGTGGCGCCTCTTTTGCTCGGTTTCACATGTATTAAAGTATGTAAGATGTTGGTTTTCTGTGGAGAATATTAAAGACTGTTGAAACAAGATGGAGAATAGAAGAATGACAAAGACAGAGGGGGAAACTGGCGGGAAGGAGAGAGAAAGTCAGGTGATAATCTTTAGTTTTTGTTGGTTGGTGGTTTGAGCGTGCTGATGAGAGGAAGGCGCCGCCCGTCAGAGTCCTGCATGAACATGTCAGCTGACAGTTGTTCACACACTAATATTACAACTGTTGTGATGTTGGTTGGAGCGGAGGGGGGTGTATCGTATCAGGATGTTTGTGCAATCTTGATGTACACAGAAAAGCACATTTTTCTATCACGATCAGATGCCATTAATACACTAGTGTACAGCTTAGTTTGCTTTCTATTTTGGACAACACATAGTTTACATAATTACATATGTGGAGGTTTCGAGGAGCTTAATTATATATCCTAGGGCTTCTCGCAAATGCCTTTAAATTTCTACAGAGAAATATCTGTTTAAAAAAAAAAGAAGAAGAAGGGTCTTGTATGCATTTGGCCTTGTAGAAAAAATAATTGCTTGTGTCCAGAAGTGCACTTAGTGAACTGAGGTGGCTCCAAGCTTTTTTTAACTGCCCTTGTTTGTATACTGTACAAAAAAAAAGAAGAAAAAAAATGTTTTTGCTCTATTAAAGACAACACTGTATAATTGTTAAAGGCTTTTCAAATGTAAAGTCCAAAATCAATATAAGGCACCCTTGTTTAAATTAGTTCATGGCAAAGGTTTTGTGTGGGTGTGAGTCAAAAGATGTGAGATGTATTTTAGTTGAGGGAATGCTAATTCAATAAATAAAAATATGTAAAAACGATGTTGTATGTAGAGTCTGGTGTGTGTGTGTGTGTGTGTGTGTCGAAAGAGAGAAACAGAAACTAACATGAACCGCTTTAATATGAACGGGAACCGAATCTCCTATAAAACTTTTCTTTGCTCCTGACTTTGTGGTTTTCACTCTGCATGCAGATTTAGCAGCCTACTTCCTTTTGACTCTGAGGGGCTCACAAACAAATGATTTGCTCAAATGTCATGTAAAACTTAATATTCATGCCCCAAGACCGTAAATTATAGATGGGGTTGCAAATGTGAAAAATACATAAAATAATAAACATGAATATAGACACGTTTTTGATTGAGTGACAATATATTTTATTTGTACAAAATGTCAAGTTACAACAAATCTAAAAAGTAGGATAATTCACAAAAACTGTACATCCAATTTAAAAAAAAAATCTAAATCAAATAGTTTTACTATCTGAGTCTGATAACTCTGAACCCAACGCTATTACAAAACATGCTACTTTGAAGGCAACGATTTTACTAAATAAAAATCAAACTCTAAAATGTTAAATAGCAAATTATGTTTATATCTTTAGTTATATATATTTAATTTTATAAGTAAAGGAAGGTGCCGTTCTACTTCTAAAAAAAATCATGAGGGTACAGTACAAGTCAACAGTTTTCCGATGAAATTGTCACATGGCTATATACAAAAGCAAAATTAATTATATAAAAAATGTCATCTTTAATATAAACATACTGTATCTAGGCTTACTTCTAAAATTCTCAGGACTTCAGTGTGTTTTTATTATCAATATTCGGATGAATAGACATTTCATTTCAAGTTATTCCAATTAGAGTTCGATCTAAATGAGAAAGCAGTGCATTATTGTCGTTATCAATGCAGGTAAAACTTTGACGATGAAGATATTTGAAAGTATTTATAAACTGAACATTTTCTTTAACTATCAAAAACAATGAAAATGTTTAAGCAGAAAAACAGTGACCATGAATGTGATTAAGCTGAAATAAGACAGTAAAACAACACTATAAGAAAAATGTTTAACCTCTGGGTTTTTTAATTGTGCTGCTTTGACCTTTCTTACTGTATGCAAACAGAGTGATTTGAATGTTGTATCAAAGCAAAATCAGCATAACCAAATTAACACTCAGATCTGATTTCAACACTTATTGTGTCTATGGGTCCACACCACATAGTCTACATTTAACCCTTTTTGCAGAGTAGGTACCTTAACCCCAATTTATTGTAATTTTTAACTCTATTTGGAGATCAAATGAAAATTATATTTGTTCGTTTTTTCTCAACACAAGATAGTTGTTAACCACTGTCACTCCCATATTTACACTATAATGTGTAAACAGAGGTGGGAAGTAACTAAGTACGTTTGCTCAAGTACTGTACTTAAGATATAATACCTTTGATAACTTTGATAACACTTGCATGCAACTAATGCATCAATAATTATAATCAAAACATATAATATATATTTTTCTGAAATGGGCCAATCTGCAAATGAGTACTTTTACTTTTGGTACTTTAAAGGGGACCTATCATGCAAAATGCACTTTTGTACGTCTTTTATACATGAATATGTGTCCCCGGTGTTCCAGGGAACTCACCAAGTGTCAGAAAACACAACCCTCTCTATTTTCCTCCATACCCAAATCTCTAAAAAAGGGGCTGCAACGGATCTGATACAGACTGATCCAGATTTGAACACTTCTATGACGTCACAGAAGTGGCGCTACGGCTATTGGGCCAACTCTCCACCTATCAGGGGAATGTGGGGTTGGGCCACGGCCAGCCATTGCCGCTCGAAAGCGCTGGAGACGCTGTAGTACATATGCCAGGCCTGTAAGTGGCGCTGTAGTCTGCCACAAAAGCAGCGAAGAAGACTTCCCGCCCATAGTTACCATGGTTACCCTTCTGTTTATTCTCCGCTGTGGCTTTTTTTCTCCCTCCCCGAGGCAAGCGTTTGCTCCCGCTGCTTTAATTCAATGCAATCCCTCCCCGTCGAGGCAAGCACTGTAATTCTCTCCGGTTAGTCCACCAGCAGATGACAAACACCCACCTCTCCGCCTCTTCCAAGGAACGAGGGGACCGTGCAGCAGAGTTTCAGTTTCAGTTTCTTTCGCCGGTCAAGATGTCCGTTAAAGTTTAAATCTTCCGGACAAAATTAGAAAAGTGCCGGTCAAAGGTCTTCTTTGTTATTTATTGAGCTTTAAAACAAATGAATAACGACTCTATATAATAAAACACGGAGGACGGAGATCTCTTTTTCTCCCCCTCTTCTGACAGCCCAGCAGCTGATCAGAGCACGACTACCCTCTCCTGCAGGGGGGCGTGGTCAGCAGAATCAGACCCGTGGTCAGCAAACAGCACATAGAGCGAAATGAGGCATGGCTAAAATGCATGATCTGTTTGGTATTTTGAAAACAGAAACGTATAAATATACCTTATATAGGTATGGCCCTACAATATATCATTTAAATATAGCATGATACTGTAGGTCCACTTTAAGTATTTTCTGATGCCAATACTTTTCTACTTTTACTTGAGTAACATTTTGATTCTGGCCTACATAAAAACTGCCAAATGATTAAACTCTTGTCAAGCCTGCTGGGCTTTCATTTTTGGCAGATTCAACTTTACCTTTACCTATCGTTCCGATTCTAGAAACCTACAAACCTGACACCCTGTCCCGGCAGTTTTCGGTGACGCAGGCGTTACTCTCCTGTGCGACGTCTCCGCAGGCCTGCCGCGACCGGTCGTTCCCGCCAGTTGGAGGCGCTCCGTTTTCGAGGCGGTGCACGACCTGTCTCACCCCGGCGGTAAGCCTTCGGTGCGCTTGGTGTCCACGAAGTTCGTCTGGCGGGGACTGAAGAAGGACGTGAGGACTTGGGCTGGTGAGTGCGTGGCTTGTCAGCGCGCGAAGGTGCATTGCCACACGAAAGCTCCTTTGGAACGTTTCATGGTGCCGGAGAGGAGGTTTGACCACGTCAACATCGACCTCGTGGGTCCATTGCCCTCCTCTCAGGGTTTTTCCTACCTCCTCACCATGGTGGACAGAACGACCCGTTGGCCGGAGGCAGTTGCTCTTGTGTCGACGTCGGCGGCTGACATAGCCCGGGCTTTCATTGCGACGTGGGTGTGTCGGTTTGGCACCCCGTCGGACATTTCCTCTGATCGGGGTTCGCAGTTCACGTCTGAGCTCTGGAACGCTGTGGCGTGTGGTCTTGGGGTTAAGCTTCACAGGACGACCGCTTATCACCCCCAGGCTAACGGCCTCTGTGAACGGTTCCATCGCTCCATGAAGGCGGCACTCAGAGCTGGCCTGAAGGACGGAAATTGGGTAGATAAGCTGCCTTGGGTGATGCTGGGCCTGCGGACCGCGCCCAAGGAAGATCTGCGGTGTTCCACGGCTGAGATGGTCTACGGTCAGCCGTTGAGGGTTCCAGGGGATTTCCTCCCTAACACATCGGTTCCCTGGTCGGCGTCTGCACAGCGGGTTTGCCTGCAGGACACCGCCGAGATTTTTGCTCCGATTCCCACTGCCCAACATGGTACTCAGGGGTCCCGGGTTCCCGCGGATCCCCGCTCGGCCGAGCACGTTTTCATACGGCATGATGCACACAGGGGTCCTCTGCGGCCTCCTTACGACGGACCTTTCCGTGTTTTGGAGCACGGGGACAAAAACCTTGTGGTCGACCTGGGTGGTAAGGCCGAGCGTGTTTCTGTGGACCGGGTGAAGGCGGCCCATTTGGATTTGGGCCAGCCGGTGGTGCTGGCACGGCCTCCGCGACGGGGGCGCCCCCCGGCCTTGATCCCTGTCACTGACTTGAGACCCGTTGTTCCGGTCTCGCCTCTTCCGGAGGCCGCACATGCGGAGGTCGTTTTCCCCGACTCCCGTGCTCAGGAGTCGTGGGGGTCGACCAAGCCCCCAGGAAGTGCGCCGGACTCTGATGAAAATATTCGTGCTGGCCAAACGGCGGTACTACACTTCCTTTTGGTTGCCAGGCCCGGAAACACTTTTTCCCATTGACTTACATGGGGAAAGAGTGGTCTGTAAATCGTTGGATAATTTTTTTTAAACTAAATAAACTACCCAGTATGAACACTTGTATAGTCCTTATTAAAAACATTCGTTCCTCAAGTTGTAAAAATGTGCTAATAACGTTATTCTGAGAGTTATTTCCCTCTGCATTATGAACGCGCATCTAACCCACGGGACCGCGCCGCCCGGCACGTTCATGTTACGTGTTCAGCAGCACTAGTACATGCGTTTATCTTTACCCATGGATGTACAATAACAACGGACCCATATCGCCTTACTGCCAGCCCACGGAGCTGTAATAATGGATATATTGCACATGTTTGCTGTAATTCATCATTTGTAAAATATTATACTACATGGGCTGTATGATTAAATCTTGTACCGTAAATGTTGTATTAAATAAAGTTAATATTACCGACGTAGATTAACGTCACTGTAGCTTCTTATTGCACTAAGAAGCTTATTGCACTGTATATATATATATACAGTGCAATAATTCTTTCATGCTAAATGAAGCTCTGTTGCTTGGATATCACTAGATCCTGTTACAGCGTAATATAAAAGTACATAACGATTGATGTGTAAATTAGCATAATTACTAGCTAACCGCTAGCTGCTAACTGCTGCCTCGTTAATATCAAATCTATCATAATGACAAACCATTACCATGCTGTCATGAACGTGCGGTGCTGTTACGTGTACGCGAATTGACGTGCTTGATGTGAACGAGCATTTTGGGGGGCATGGTTAAAGTTGCGCATGCGCTATGAGCGCACATACGGGTACTTCTCAGGCATGCCGGGTAATCTGTGACGTTTCGCTCTCTCAAAAGTTGGGCCATTTTATCATCATGCGCGAATGAGCAACTCTCATAGGAATGAATGAGGCCCCGCCTCCCACGCTGTATCCAGTTCTTATTATACATCCATGGGGTCGACCTGTCGTGCCGCCCCGCCAC